GAATAGTTTCTATGTATGCATAATACACGAAAAGCTGGGCCAGAGGACAAAGGGCAATGTTTCATGTATGCATAATCACGAAAAGCTGGGCCAGAGGACAAAGGGCAATTGTTTCATGTATACAAAATCACGAAAAGCTGGGCCAGAGGACAAAGGGCTATTGTTTCATGTATGCATAATCACGAAAAGCTGAGCCAGAGGACAAAGAGCAATTGTTTCATGTATGCATTCTGTTTGGCAATGTTTACCGGTGACACAAGAACCATACCTAGCATGGTAGCGTTAACTGCTTGAAGTTGATGTTTGCGGAACTGCTTCAATCCGAAGATGCCTAACATAATCTGATATGGTAAAAATGAAAACAGAAGATCAAACATTTGATAACAAACCAGGATAAAAATCATATACATGGCTGCAATTGACACCACACCAGCGAAATCAGCAATCACACCCACACAAGATCAAATTCTGCCAATGCCACCAAAATCATATAACATAATATGCAAATGATACTTAAAAATCAGGAGTGCTAGACACACATGCAGCAGAAATGGGTGGAAAACACTTGCTACCTTTTGTACATCTTGATTGAAGGAGGGATCAGAAAGGCACATTCATACAAGATCAAATCATGCTAATGCTACAGAACTAAAAAGCATATTTTTCAATAGAAACCTAAAATCAAGAGTATCAGACACAAGCAGCAAGAAAAAAGACAAATCAGATAGCAAGAAAAAAGACAAATCAGATTGTAACCTTTTGTATATCTCGACTGAAGGCGAAATCGTTGCCGTTGAATTTGTCCAGAGGCGAGGGGGCGCTACTGGCGTTATTGCGACCGGTGGTGTTCGTTTTACTACTCAAGGCTCCAGTGTTAATGGTGCCTTGTTTCAAAGTGGTTTGCCGTTGTCTGTCGCATCGAATACATGGAGAATGCAAAGATTTATGATTCGTGCAGTACCAAGGCGAATTAAAAGCATTGAATCCAGTCTAGTTCAATTCAAAGATACCGTGGGAACAGACAAAGCTAATATTAGACTTTCAGGAGGAACAATGTTTGACATTGACCTGCAGTAATAAGGCCATCGTAATACCACAACAGAAAAAGAAACACACTCATAAGTTTAGGAGTCTTACTGTGAGCTGCCGGTATATGCGTTTATATTAGACGCTGGAGCCACAGGTCGACCAGAGTCCCTGAGGATGGGCATGACGGAAGGTTCGAAGTCGACAAAGGCATCGTCTTCTAACCCTGTAAAATTTAGTAAATTATTCTTTTGAATCGGCCGGATAGCATATCATCCTAAAATTCGATGTGCAATGACGAACATACAAGCTGTGATAGCAAATAATACCACCTACCATCGTCATATTCTGGTTCGGGCTGTTTGTTGTATCTGGAAGTGTTCATAATAGAATGTGGTTGTCCCTGCTTATTCTCCCTCGAAGTACCATTCGTATAATCATTAGGGAGATGCTGTTTATACTCGTGAGAGCTATTGCTATTGGTTTCTTGCGGCTTATAACTACTATTATTGTTTGTTTGTTGTGCTACTTGGCCACCGTGCGAATAGCCAGTTGATTGATTGGCCTGTGGTCGCACAGTAGTATTTACGCTTGTGATTCGTGGCTGCCTTCCATTGTTGATACTGGCGACACCATCAAACTCTGGAGGAATGTCAGGATCATAGTCGTCATCAGACTCATCGAATATGTCACATGCACCAGACTGCATCATCACGTTCTGAGGTTTGGCTTCCGTATGGTTTTGATTTAAGATGCTATCTCCCACAGTCCCTGAGCGCCTGGAGACCGAGAAATCATGAGCGTGTCTGTTTGAATTACCCTCCGCCGTGGCGCTGGATGTAACAGCATCTGTCGATATAGAATTCCCTAACCGACACACATTATCATGTAACTGCCCATTTTTAGAAACTTCCGAGTGTATCGTACGAAGTCCTCCCTCCACCCTTGCGTTACTTTGGCCATAGTCGCCCAAAGGATGCCCTCCAGGTGCTGACACTCCTGACTCCTGACTAATGCTGTTGCATGAAATAGAGCACGATCAGAAGTAGCGAGTTGATTCTCTCTGTATACTATCGTGTGGCGATAAACAAGCCTGCAGCAATACTACATACGCAGATTAGCAAAAAGCTGGTACGAATTTCTTGATGACATAAACCATACCTTTCAATGACAGCGTCTGTACTTCGCTGTTTCGCCGAAATTGCAGTCGTTTGTGTAACGCTGTGCAAAAAATTGGTTGCACCTCCAGGCGACAGTTTTACAATGAAAGCATTGATATCGCCTCGAAGAGAATCAATGTGCTTAAGCAAAGCGTCCACCGCGTCTCGCACGGTGTTCAGGCGTACCTTGGTTTGTTCGGCAGTCGCTATACGGGCAGCTTTGCCCTCAGGAGATGCCTATGATGCACAAAACGTTGACAGTTATTTGGATTGAGTGCCGGCGCTATCTGGAAACAGAAGCACATGTTCCCCGGGATATATATATATAAACAAACATTTAAAATACAGAATTCTTATACAGTACGCCGACACTTACTGTTCTACGAAGCGGCGCCGTAACTTCCTGAATCTTCGCATTCAACGTGTCCCAGTATGGGTCCACTATAACCCGTGCACTATTGTAGGAAGCAGGAGAATCCACTATGAGTGGCATGAAACGGATAGCTTGATGTCGATTATTGCAATGCATCACGCACAAACTCGATAAATCACAAGCCATACTCTAATGCCTCCCATGTGCTCTCGTCGGTAAGCGTCTCCCCTGAGTGAGCCACCTTATCTGTGATATATAATAGAATTGTCAGAAAAGCGATGAGTTAAAGGGGATATTGATCGGCTTTAATAAGCGAGAAGTGGCAATTGTTCTCAGTTATTCATTCACAACTCGAAGGCCAAAAATATACTCGTATGTGAAACCATACACTCTATACTTTCGATTGCCGTGAATACACCGTGTGCATGAGCGCAAAAGCAACTGAACTAGTATTCTGAATGCAGATACTGACTCTTACGCGGATCTCACGAGAAAGTGGAAAAAAGCAGTGTTTATACTCACCTTCATCTTCGTCTGCGTCCAGATCAATAATATTTTCCTTCTTTACAGCGGCAACTGGAACTTTTGAATTGCTCAGATCACCGTCATCCGAAGGTGTAGACAATGTGGATTGTAATTCGACAGCACTCCTGTGTATTACATGTCGATTGCGACAAAAATAATGTTATACAAACCTCGTGCATGACTGCCACTTTGCTTACTCAGTCGAACACACCTTAAATTGCACGATACATATTGTGATGAGCTTTGTGATTATATCTAAAGCAACATCGACTATTTTTTTTTTTGCAGGCATCGACATATAATGCTTATACCCGTCTGCGGTTATATCCAGGACTTCAGCTACATCCTCTGCCTTCGAAGCCCGTAATGCGGTCTCATAAGGATCCAAAGGCGCATCCTCCTCCAGACCTAGATCTGTAATGTGTCCCAGGTTAGTGAAACATAAAGATCATAGTAAACGTATGAACAGCAAGTGTTGAGTATTAGCCAATATGCTCGATTAGTCTTAAAACTGCGTTCATGTCCATCGAAATACAATGCCTATTAAACTCAACGTAACATACCAAGCCCATAGTCGTCGACTGATTGCTGGAGCAGATCAGTTGCAGCTTTTTTCTCAGCAGCGCACAGTGCCAGAGCCTCAACGGTCAAGCCGTCCTTTACTTTTTGACTAGTTTTAGTCTGCCTGCCCGTCTTCTCTTTCTGCTGACTTTTACTCTGACTGCCTGTACTGCACTCAGACTTCACCACGCGATACACGCTATGGCTCGATGTGAGCGATGGATACGTCCCGGAGAAGTCGTCGTCGAAGTCACCGATTTCGCTATACGGCGACGAAGCCCTGAACTTTGTTCCTGGAACGATATCACGAGCAAAACAAATCCATTTATATGTGGTCTACGTGCAGATAGCTGCACATAATTAGCGTACACAAAAAGTAACGTATATAAACGCGTACCATATCAGCGAACTTTCAAGTGTAAGATCATATAAATGCACTTATATCTTCATGTGGGTTTCTAACATAATACGTACCATACGTTCACATGTCTAGCGCGCACAATGAAACGTATGCAAACGCGTACCATGTCAGAGAACATGCCAGTGTACCACAATACAGATACACTAACCTACATGTGTGTTTCTAACAATATACTTACCATACGCTCACATAAGTTTCTATTAGCGTTTTACACGTACATACGAAAATATACACACACTAGCGCGCAATGAACACAGGTCACAGGATTCCTCGATATTAACGCCAAACCTCGAGCCTGTACGCTCTTACTAAATACGATACAGCACCACTCCGTAGATCTAGCGACTACCTATTCGATAGCACACAGAATTCTGGATAAGAAAGGTAGGTCTTTACAATCCATGGCAGTCAATAGGATCAAATGCAAGCGTGTCGAAGATCTATAACCTTTGTGTGCAAGTCACGCCACAATTGTATTCCTCACACGCAGAAGAAATAGATACAGCCGAACCGGATAGTCGAGCTCTACAAAGTATAACACAGGTCATCACGTATACACACCTGAACTTTTGGCGCCTGTGCGTAATTTGTTCATTTTGGCGTCATGGTCGCGCAGAGGGGTGGCAACTAGCTTCCCTCCCTGCGTGACATGGGTGCGGCGCTGAAGCAACTATATTGTCAAATATTGTGAATTGCGACAACAGAGTAAAGATCAGTCAGGATTAAAAAGTATTACCGAGATTTTATGATTGATGCGGCATGCAGCGCATGTGAACGGCGATACAATAACTGCATGTTTTAAATTGTGACACCCTAGCATGCTCGTTCAGATTTGCAAACAATTGCTGAACTTGTATAAAAGGGTTGAGTTGCTGGTGTATAAATTCTGGTGCAAGATGAATTCTAACACGCTTAGACTGCTCTAAGAAGATTATATATGATCTACTATTACCGCTTCAGCGAGGAAAAAAGGTACGTTTGACTGTAGCACTGTTTCACAATGCGGGGACTATATTCGAGTGGGAGGCGTACAAGAAGAAAGAGCTGCGATACCATGTATGATATGGACGAGACGAGATGATCTACGAAACGCACTGCGCTGATACACTACAGTATACAATATCATACTACAGATTATATTACAACATTACACAGTATACTACCAGACTATACGTACTGAACTGATACCACACTACACGAGTACATCCTGACAATACACACCTTAGTATGTCTCGTGGGTATGTTTTCCTTTCCAGTCGGCCCATCCTTTAACTGATTCATCGGCTGCAATGACTGACTATACCCATATCAATCACCGTGGTTTTGTGAGTAAATGATTAGAGCGTTTAAACTTCAAACACAGACGACTATGGGGTTTTGTAGCTATCAGCTTGTATTCGATTGTTAGAACGTAGTGTTACGAATCACGAGCACTTACGTGTACAACGTGGTTCTTGCTACCCCTAATAGTGCAGGACTGTAGGTAAATAGTGTACTACGCACAGCACGGCATACAACAAATAGCTACGAATCTTGGGTCACCTAGACTTATCACTTTCGTGTACAATATATTTAATGTCCGAGGTCAATGCATGTCAGTTGCCTGGCTCCAGTGTATTAAAAGAACGAGAGTATATAGCCCGCCAAAATATTTTGGAACAATCGAAGGATTTGATTGGCACAGATATCTCTGGTTTGTCTTCAGAATAAATACGCCAGAGAGAAGTTTCGAATCTTTATGTGTGTTGAATCATTTCGATGGTGAAATATTGGATATGTATTGAATTATCAATATTTGTATTTGGTTTTACTGGTCCAATGACATTATGAATTTGTGTTTTGACGAATAAATAATTTTCTATAAGTTAAGTTTTAATGGTTTTCATTGCTTTCAAGCGTGAACATTCGCACCTAATGAAAGATCTGGGTGAAATGAAAAAAAGCCGTAGTTGAGACTTGAGTTTTGAGTACATAAATATTTTAAATACTTCACTTGTTGAGTTGCGCTTGATCTTTCTTGAAGTCATGTCATCGCGTCGACCTGTTGCTTCACAACCGCTGTCTGCATTAACTGCAAACACGGTTCTGTTCCGAAATTTTCATAGACTATATAGTGTATATTAACTATCGCCTTGCAGGATGGGTTGTGGATTCAAGGGGGTTTCTCCCAATCAAATAATGGTGGTGTCTGGTAAGTGCTTTATATCTTCATTGTAAGCTTAGGGATTTGTTAGGTGCCTGCTTAATCTGATTCCAGTTCAGTTTCCGGATTAGGATAGCGAGTCTGCTTCGACCAGCTTCAGTAGTGCAGTCCGTTACACGTATGACATCTTCTCCGTGAATAATCATCACGGTATGTACACTGCCACAACTGATATAGAGCTGCAAGCAACTACCGATGCCTGACCTGATAGAAGCTGCACGGAATAAATGGCGTTTGGGGCTGAGAAACCCACAACTTGCGTCCATTTTTGATGTTGTTATTAGCAGTCCTAAAGATACTTCATACCGCTGCGAATAAAGATCGCCATCGAATATATGCTGATGTATGCGCAAATTGTTCTCAAACTAGTACCCACCCAAGCGGCCTCAACACTCAAGTAAGTGTACTTCGTATTATTTTTGCTTTTTCAAGGGGCCTGCCATTCTGAACCGAAGTACATCACCGGAGGGCGTACCTGGGTATGGCCATGGTGCCAGAAGGTTCAAAAGTATGTATTTATTCGAACGACTTTAGTATTATTCCGGACAGTGAGTGAGTACAATGTGCGCAGTACGTGCTTGTGCGTTTAACGATTGTTTCATACCGAACACCCTGCCGGCGTATCACAAGTTGTAAACATCCTAGTTAACACAAATCGTCGAATAATCTGGCACGTCCGGACCGTTGCGCTAAGCGACAAGAGTTAAACTTTCAGTTGGGCTGGAGTATCGAACGTAAAGGGGTTTACGACTATATCAAATATAAAAAAGGATCAGCTATTATAGGAGATGCCTTGTGCCCCGTCTACGCTCATATATTTCTATGTCGAATGTTGCAGGTTGCCTCTGAATATCATGACAGCCATCATCGAGTCTCGTGAAGTCTTATCTCAGGAGGGTGTGAAGATATCTGTGTCGGGTGTTGCACAGGTAGGTTGTGATCACGAAAGATGTAGATGTGGTATAAGACAATGGATGAATGCATATATGGAGTTAATGATCTTCCCAGTTGAATGTGATGTTGGCTGTGTTGCTTCCAGTTCGGTGTCCGCAAGTCAATAAAAACACGTCCAAAAATCCGCTAATGTACCAACAACTCGCACAATTTACAAGTTCTGTGTTTCCTCTGCTGGCGACAATGAAAACTGACAATGACAATATTAGTACGTGTCAAACTGTATGAAATATTTCCATTACATATGTCTTCAAGCGTATATATGTTATTCGTAATTGTTGGAGAAAGCCGGCTTCGTTAAATTTACTTCGAACTCTGTCCCCGTTTCTGCAGAGCATAAACACAGTTTCTGCACCCATGTACGGTTTAAGCAATAGACCTATTCCACGATTAATTTGGTTTATCGCGAGTGAACCTTCATCTCATGCCTAGTCTTGCTCAGTAGAAATGAAAGTGAGATAGAAATTACGCAGATGGACCAGCGCCGTATCCATCACTGACCTTATTCTGTGTTGTATCCATGCCACGTAGGTTAAAGTGGAGGCCAAATTCGCCGAAATGAGGGCCGCTGCGTGTCAGGTATTTCAAGCAATTCTTTTGACTCATTTGAAACATTTTGAACCCTGTAAACTGTTTATCATTTTCGATTACCCCATCGGATCTCTAACCGGAAATCAATCCATCCTCTCGAACATTCACAGCACTTCATGGGCAAGAACCCGAGTGAGATCGAAAGCATAGTAATGCAAACGCTAGAGGGGCATCAACGTGCTATCATGGGTGTAAGTTGATTCGTATCTCATGCATCTGTGTTAAATAAATTTAAATTATAGGTGTATGTATATGATTGCAAAACTGAGACTGTCTATGTGTAGTAATTTGATTATATTTCACGAAGGGTACCTTGGTTTTTGAATCAATGTCGGAACTTGTTCCGCACCAGATCTGTTATTGTATGGTGTGGACCTAATTTATACGTGAAGCGAGGGTATCGGTATATGAATTCATAGTTTCGGATTTCTAATCTATGGACTTGTGTATTGATAAATACAAGTGAATAACAACCCGATTTAGATCATTGTTACCTATAGTTTCAGGATGTATATAGTGTGCACATGATGTGTTCTCATTCATGATATATGTTTATACTCGTCTTTAGTACAAAATGCCTCTATAAATGAAGTACAATGTGCCTCTAAAAATCACTTTGGCAGCCGAGCATTTCGGAAAGGCCTATGACAAATGCTGATTTATCATTCGGGTCACTGTCGTTTTGTAATTTAGAACGGTATGACGAGGTTTGTCTGGATTGTCCTTTCAAAAAAGGTACAATTCAGCTGTATAGTCTGGTTTTTCGAATGTGCCTAGGTAGGCTTCGTGTGGTTCTTGAATACCTGTCGAGATGGACCTCAGTCCGATTGCTAATACACTTTCCCCTTCACTTCACTGACCGCAGACCATGACAGTTGAGGAGATCTACATGGATAGAAAAAAGTTTGCAGAGGCTGTCTACAGAGTTGCATCGCCAGACTTGCAAGCGATGGGTATCACAATTGTATCGTACACGCTAAAAGATGTTAGAGATGCAAATGGCTATCTTGAGGTGAGTTGTAAGTGGTCCTACCACAGAGTCTGGCATAAGCACTGCACGAGTAAGCTGCCGCGTCGTATTTGGGGTTTTTCTTGCGGGGGGGGGGGCTTTTGAGCACAATCAGGTTTGGTTGGTGAGCTGATTCACTGATTTCACTTGCTCCTGTAATGCTATCAGTCACTCGGGCAAAAACGAACTGCCGAAGTCCGAACCGACGCACGTATTGGAACTGCAGAAGCTGAACGGGATGCATCAATCAGAGTATGTCTTTCTGAACTTGAGGTCTCGAGACTCAGACAACTTTATCTGTCGGTGCTATAAAAAAAATCATATTATAGGCTCGGTATAATACCCTTCTGTATATAAATAATTGTTGCTAGCTCTCTGAGACTCTTAACGTGCACTAATGGTTGAAGGTCTGCATTCGCTGCGACAGGCACGAGTATCTTTTTGCATTTTGTAACCAATCTTTAACCAATCTTACACACTTCTTATATTGCAGCAAGCAAAAGCAGAAGAAGAAAGATTGGCTGCTAAATATCAATGCGACACTGCTATCGCGTCAGCAGAACGTGACTACAATGTTGCCCAAGAGGAATATAACAGCAGAGTATGGTCCATTTACGTAGTATTCTCCTTTGTATCTCACGCGTTGTTTTCGTCAGTGTTCAGAGTTATATTCCACAAGAGGATAGGTATGGGGTTGACCTGTGATGTACTGAAAGATACTTTAGCGTACTGAAAATATTTTTTAAGTGTTCACCCCAGACTTAAACTCATTGTACGCCACCAGGTGAATACCGTAGAGGCTGATGCGACACTTGCGTACAATCTGGAGAACGCAAAAACGCAACAAAGAATCAAAGAAGAAGAAATGAATGTAATGGTTGTCGAGAAGCAAATGCAAATCGAATTGGCCAAGCAAGAGTCTCTGAGAAAAGAGATGGCTTTGCAGAGTGAGATTTATCTTCCCAGTGCCGCCGAGTGCGAGAAGAAAACAATTCTTGGAGAAGCGATGAAGTGAGTGGAGTATCGACTTCTTCTGATAATTATGTTATTGATTATCACTACCTCCTTTGCAATCAAGGTTTTCCTGGGCAGCGCATGCGTGCCCCCTTCCTTGATGCTTGCGTTTCTCCCAGAGATTCGTTGTCGTATACTCAAAGACTCATATTGTTTACTTTACAGGGCAAAGCTCCAATCAGGATGTGATGCTCAAGCACATGCGATCAAGGTAGGGTACCATTCAGTTAAACTTTTTTCGATTCAGAATGTAAAATGTCTTTAGACATAGGTGTATGCAGCATCGTGTAGAGTATCTTAACTGCTCCGTTGCTCATTCCTGCATATTTGTTCTCATTTATACAGCTCAAAGGGGACGCCGAGGCACAGGCTATACAAGCAGAGGGAGAGGCTATGGCACAAGCTATGGAAGCGCGCGCGAAGGCTTGGGATCGCTATGGCAACGCAGCTGTAGCTGACATGACCTTCTCTGTACTACCAAAGGTAAGCCTCATATTATACACAGTGTTGATGGATCTCCGCGAAACAACGTCTCAAAGCATATTTCTACGTTGTTGTATTGAAACCTTGCACCTTTGAAGACGCGGTTCTCCAGCTTTCGAAAGATTTTCTCACCATATGCACAATTGTTTGCGATTTGTTTCGGGTAGGTCACAGCAGAAGTCGCGGCACCTATTGCACAAATGAATAAGTTGACAATGATAAGTGCGGATGATGATGACATTGGTGCGGCTCGGTTGACTTCTGAGATCGTCGAGATCATCACCCAACTGCCTGCTGTTGTGAATAAGGTGACTGGATTGGACATCACAAAGGTAAGCAAGCAAAGACTATTCATGTACCCAAATGTGTATCACATTTTGCTGATTAGTTACTTTCTCATTTTGCTTCTGCTGAAATATCACATTCGAAGTGCCAATTTTATTAAAAAAGTCTAAATCTGATCTGAAATGAATCCTGTTTTTTTTACCGCAGCTGATTCACGATGGTATGAATAACACGTCCACCCGCAATGTTGCTACAAGATAGCGACATCTCGCGACATTCACGGTCCATGTGCAGCGCAAAAATATCAAACGATTTAAAGCACCTCCAACCTGTGAGCTCTGGCTTGGCTCCAGTAGAAACATGCGGCGACCTTCACAGCGCTGGGCTATTACGGTTATGAACCACTGTTGCGACGAACATAAATGTAAAGGATAGAATATCTCTACCGACGGGATATCTGTTCGTACCGGACAAAAAGTACCATCACGGGACGGGGTATCGATTACAGACTGACATATTAAAGTATATACCCTTCATCAATCAAATATAAAATACACAACCCTGGTCTCATACTTCTTTGAAAAGGTACAGTGCATGCTAAGCGTTCACAATTTGGGCTGCAGTAACCGGCGTTCATGGCGGGTATCATATACTACCCTGAGTGCACTAGCCTTGCATGTTTTGGCAATTTAATCGTTTGTCAGGAACATGCATGAAGCACGCGACCAACATAATCAGTACGTCTTATTTTGCATATTACAAGTTAAAAGTGCGAGGATTTGACGTTCATAGAGCAGTTCGCTTTTTGACTCTACTCCACTGCATTGGTACGATTAGCTCTCAGTAACCTGAGTGTCAATATATTAGCCTTTGCTTTCCTGCTGCACCGCCGTTTTCGCCATTTTACAGTGCTGAAGAAAATTTATCGCTGAATCGCTAATAAACCGTTGAGTAGCTTCTTCGCCACCGGTGTCAGCCTTGTACGATTGTATTGGTCCCCAATTTTGCGGATAGCCTCGGCTGTTTGTAGCAAAAATATAATTCAGAATTTGAGTTGTATGCACTGAGTAATCGTAGATAGAGGTACTAAGATTAAATTGCTATCAATTTTCCGTTCAATGAAAAACAAATAATAGAATTTTATTGCCTATTGTGCAGTTCATTCATGAAACGTGAGCACAATAGAGTACAAGAGCGCACAACTGAAAACACAAGTACCTTGAGTAGGGTATGGATGGATGATCGTGGACAGGGCTTGTAGATTTACACCCCCCGCCATTGCAACAGTGAGCTCGGAAATCATGTCTCCGGCATGTCCAGCAACCACTGTGGCACCAATGACATCAGCAGATCCTTTCTGATACCACAATATGTGATTGAAAATTCGTTGATAGCAGGCTGAAAACAGCTCATTAAAATTTCAGTACCTAAACGTTGGGTCAATTAAATGGGAAATGCGCTCAACGGTTTTCCGGTCGGATCAAATACCTTGGTAACTACTTTGACGAAGCCTTCCGTTTCGCCCTCGAGAATTGCTCGATCCACCTCGTCCATTTCTTTGAATAAATAGAAATTGTTGTTTGTATTTCGAAGATGAGGCTTCATTTCGAAGTAGAATAAGGGAAACAGTCTACGAGCTAGAATTAGAGAACTTCAAAAGACGACATACTCTGCTTGTAGACGTCAACGGAACCGTGCTTGGCAATAGCGTCCTTCTCATATAAGCCCACATGTGCGACTTCGGGCTCGGTGTAAATCGCCCAGGGGATCAACAGATCAGAAGCCTTACTCTTACCAAAGAAGAGGGCATTTCGGACCACGATACGCGCCAAGAAATCAGCCACATGGGTGAATTTGTACTTGAAGCAAATATCTCCCGCAGCGTAGATATTGGAGTTGGTTGTTTGCAGGTAATCGTTGACAACGACGCCAGTCTTCTTATCAAAGTCTACGCCTGCAACATCCAAGTTGAGGTTCTCAACATTAGGCACACGACCAGCAGCAACCAGAAGCTCGTCGAAAACAAATTTGTCTCCATTCTTCATGTGTAGAACGATCTCTGTTTCCTTTTCGGCGCCTTCGCGTTTCTCGATGCGTTCGTAGTCAGACGATAGATAGAGCTTGATACCTTCCTTCTCGAACTGGTTAGTGACTGCAAAATGAGTAGTTTATGACATGATTAAAAACATGTATGCTACAACAAAACAGTAGATAAGCGCGCCCATTGCGCCGATACGGTTTCATATTTGCAAATCGACCGCTACGAAATTACATACTGGCATCGATGGCATCCTGTTCTTCTGCTCCCAAAAGATGACCCGAACGACCGAAAAGTGACACTTCAGATCCAAATCTTCGGAAAGATTGGGCCATTTCGCATCCAATTGCACCAGTGCCAATTACACCGAAACGCTTGGGCAGTTCCGTCAAGTTAAATAGTGTTGCGTTGGTTAAGAACTTGATGTCCTGGATACCGGGGATAGCCGGTACGCCTGCACGTCCACCGGTGGCAACACAAGCTTTGGAGAACTTCAATGTCTGCCCGTTCACCTAGATATTAGTTCGTATACATGTACTTGATGAAGATCTGAGGTCCTCACTGTCAACGTGTACAGAATTCAGCTTGCATGCGCTCAGACTCACTGATCGCCCGCATATCGTATTTATACAGGCGCTTGAGCACTTCAACCAGATGATGCCAAAGTTTACATCGCCAGATCTATGTAAATGTGAGCCCTCTGCAAAAATACGAGTGCTGACTCTGCTTCACTGTACGACTGGTTTCTAAATCTCACTCTCTTATGATCACAAACGCCATGATAGGCAGGTTACTCACATAAATCTGCTACTTTCACAGGCTTCATATAGATGACATACCTCGACAGTGTTCTTGCTGGTGAATTTCCCTTCCCCAATGTAAACATCAACACCGGCCTTTGAGAAGCGCTGTACAGAATCTACATCACTAATCTGCGCACGCAGGCGACGCATGCGCTCCATGATTTTGCCAAAATCAACCTTGACATCACTGCAGGTGATGCCAAACTGCTCACTATTCTTAACTTCGTAGATAGCCCTTGCAGCACGGATGAGCGCCTTGGACGGCACACAGCCTACATTGAGACAGTCTCCTCCCATTAGATGCTTTTCGATGATTGCAACCTGGAGCGTAAGATAGCATTCAATTAAAGCATACGCTTCGCTGACTCTCTTAACAGTACCGGGCGAGTTCAAAAAAATATGTATACACGGATAAAAACATTGAGGGAAGCATTACTTCTGCTTTATAATAGCGTAAAGAGCAAGCGAAAGCAGAATCACGTAGGTAAATTCGTAGAATCAGTGTGTTCACGCATAGCAGGTATAAAGATTACACAATCATACCTTGGCACCAACACCTGCTGAAGCGATAGCGGTAACGAGACCAGCAGCGCCAGCACCTATTACCACCATGTTATAATTTGGTTGCGGGGAGGGATCTAGAAAGTATGCGTGCACAGAGAACATTGAATATTGGGCCCTAGCAACAAGCTGAAAATGCGATATTTGGATCCATATCGCTGCTTCAATTAATGGCTCGCAAAAAAACCCATATCAGCGAAAAACATCACAATAAATGACCTGGAAATGGTATCGATGAAACATCATGACATACTTTTGTACTGTGTGGGGTGAACATTCGACAGCAGTTTGTTGTTGTGGACATCTAGTGGGCTGACCTCCAGCCAGTCAAGAGTTTCCATCAAAGTATCACTGTACTTTTCATTGTAATCGTGGCCTGTGAAGGGTGACGGACTTGATACCACATTCTCCTCCCCTTGCTATAATGATGTGAAGTGCGCATAGGTATAGGGGTGGTGTGATAGTCTCAGTTGAGGACATGGTTCATTCAGGCTGTCACGTTTTGCAACATCATCTTTTTAGCTGGAAGTAGACTAACCAATATTCTGACTGGAGAGGAATAAGCTGTGATGATCCTAGATTCAAAAGAATAAATATATTGCACAGCGCATACAAAACTACTGTGAGTCTTCAGAACTTGGAGAATTGACATTTACATCAACTACTTGCTAAATCTTGAGTAAGTATCAAATGTATAAGCATGTTCGGAAACAATCCTGGGGGCAAATTGTAAGTTTTATTGCTGCATCTTATAATAGAGCTGATATTTCGATAAAATTCGAACTAACTTGCAAAACAATAGACAATTGTAAACCATCAAAAATCGTAGGTGCGAATAGCGTACGGGAATCGATTGACTCGAGTAGAGTCAAAATTATTAGAAAAATATGTAAATACCACAACCATATTCATAAACACGCTCTAAGTCCTCAAGATAACAAGCCTCCAGAATCGGTACAAGAACCACCAATGCAAAAGTACATCGTTGAGATCTACATAATATGAAATTTAAGCATTTGTTGCGGGGTTTCCTTGTATCGTTTGTCGAAAAACTCAAAAGGAACAACCTACCAAATACGGGTGGTCTCCGAAGAGTGTGTGCACAGCAACGTCATCCTTGAATCGATAGAAATAGTAGGCATCTTGTAGATCGATAAGAGAGGATGAAAAAGAGCCGCCAAGTTGATGACTCATTAAACTAAATCAAGCAAATTTTTAGAATCGATCAAACCTAAAAGGTCACGATAGGATTTGTGCGAATTCAGTGCGACACGCCAAGCGAGCGCCTAAGGTATATTCACAGCAGAACAATTGTTGTTTAGCACGCCAGTAACAATATTTACCTTTCAGATCGTGATCTCCGGTCGCGTGTTCGAATACACCTTGCTTGAACATCTCCTTTCCAAGGTTTAAGGCCTCTGCACGACCAACCTGTTAGATATTTGAAGCTCGCATGAGAGGCGCATACCAGAGCATAGATAGCACACTGACTGTTTTGGACTTTGATATCGATAACTCATACATTGCTGAGTTGTATTCATAGTGATATATGTACCGAATAATGAAAACAAAATTGCGAATACCCTTCAAGGCACGAGCGTTCTACTAATACACAAAACATAAAGTTCAATTATGGCCGCTAGCATTCAATTCATCGGACAATATCATGGGGATGCAAAACAGTTCTACATTAACTACAACATCTAATACAGAATCATACCGAAATTATTCAGATACAAGACAGTAGGTATAGAGTTGA